CTACAGTTTATATCCTAGGCTGCATGCATTTGTATATACATATCTGACATAGTCTCCCTTCTACCATTTTAGCATTCATGAGGCCTCTCTTGTTCCTATCACATTGCACCTTTTTCTTTCCCCTGCATCCACCATTTCTTCACTTAACTGTGAGTCACACTCCCTACCCTTGTTCCTGGTTTAAAGCCTTCCTCACCACATTGGCTGGCTTGTTGGCATAGATGCTCTTTCCTCAGAGCGGATTGTGGATTCTGTCAGGTGGATTCTGTCTGCCCAGCAGCCCTCAACTCTCAAAGAGAGTCCTGCTGTCATAAAACCAAAATTCCTGTCAATAACATCAGCTCCACAACTAGGTATTAATCCACAGGAACAATTTGCTCCTCCCCCAGCCTCTTCTCTCCACCATCACAGCTAAGAACATCACCTGGATCACCTTTTGCTCACAGTTACGAGCAAAAGGTCCTCGCAGAGCACTAAGCCTCTTAATTACCTACAGTGTTTGGGGGGAACTGGGACGGTGGTGAAAACTGTTCAGAGGTGAAGATACCATGTGAGCACAAACCAGATTATTCTGTTGCTCTGGTACTGGAAACTGCACATAAGCAGCTGCTTGTGCTTAATTAAGAGTTAGGTAAAAGAGTAATGACCAGGTCAGATAATTTTCTCTAGGAAGTATATAAAGTAAATGAAATGTAAGTGACATGAACCAAATAATCAGAAGGCAGTCTTGGGACACAAAGCTGGTGACATCTAGGTAACTGTACAGTAATACCACATAGTGCCCAGACTGCTTAGGTAACTCAGAAACAGCAAATCTATGTACAGATGTAGGACCAATGGAAAAAAGTCCTTTGGGATGAGCTTTTTATTTGAGAGGAGTATGGGTAAAGATCAGAAGGCACAGGGACAGCAGAAAGGCAGGTTCGGGGTGGGGGGGGCAAGGAAAGAACAAGGTTATCGTACCTTGTTCAAGCACCTTTCCCACTGCAGAAGTGCAGCTGTCTATGGACGGTGGTGAAGCTTATCTCCAGACTGTGGTCCACAGCTAACAAGGCACACCCAAGCATGCATATACAATCCTCTGTGGACATTAAGGGGTAATTAAAAGCAACATCAGGCACTCTTTTGCATCCTTAAGTTTGCTTTTATGAAACAGATGATCATTTGTTTTAAAGAGCTCTTCTTCATGCTCTACACTCATATTTAATTTCCTATCTTTTTATTGCAAACAGACCTAAACTTCTGCCTGAAAGCCAAAACTTCGGTGCTCCCTAGCCCATACAAACATTCACAAACTAGTCAGCTATTTCAAAACTCTAAACCACCCATCCCATATCTCCAGTGAAACCTTTCATTCTTGGCCTCTCTTCCTACATGAGTCCTTAATTATCTCAAATCTCCTTCTCTCATGTCCCACTATTTCTGCTGGCTGAGGTCTGAACACATTTACCTCTGGAGACAGTATACGGTTACTCCAGATCAGCCAGAAAGGATCAGCAAAATCAGCAAGACGTACTCTTCCTCTAGGGAGTAACGCTGCATGGTAAGTTACTAAAACCCAGGCATCATCTTCTACAATTATACTATCTTAAAGCTCCCTTGGGATAACAAAACAGAAAAAAAATACACACACATCCCTCCCCTTCCTCCGGTATCAAGCAAGCTTTATAGAACATTATAAAATCATCTACATATTCCTTTTAATGCAGTTTTAAGTGTTCAGCAATGCACATCTTTAAAAGTAAATAATGGGAAATGTTTCCTAAAGTAACCGTATATGCATATTAAGTAATAGCATTATAGTGTGTGCCTACCTGGCATATAAAGCCTGGTTGCCTTTTACAGCGTGCCAGTGAGACTACACCTGACCGGCACAAAGCAGATGAAGGCTGTGCGCGGTGTGCATCTCATGTAGAAAGCTGTACAAGTGAGCAGGCAGAACGCCTGTGCCGTTTGTGCAGCGTTCCAAAGCAAACCCTGGTTCTGTGCAAGCAGATACAATCCACTCCACAGCTGCTGGCCGAGAGGGCAAGGATTATTCCTTGGCACCATCCCACAAAGAACATACTGATGTACCTTCAGATTTTTTCCTATGCATTCACCAACAAAAAAGGTCACAGAAAGCTTCAAAACACTGAGAATGACTTAGGCAGGCAAGTTCACACAGAAGAGTTTTATTATTCATAACAAAAAGGCAGAATACTGAATACATCAGCGTACATGGGAACATTATTAATTCCAAACAAATGCAACCAGTTCTCTACCACTTTCATGGATTAAAAAAAAATAAAAATCAAAGTAATGAATGATACAGTATAAACAAATACAGAAGTACACTCAGGAAATACAACCAAATGATAAACAGTAGTTTCCAATTAAATCTTACCAAATCAAAGCAGTGGTTTTGCTCAGAATTATGCTTTCCCTAAAACAAATATGAAAACACAGCTAAACTTTCAAATCCTAAATAAATGACAACTTCTTTCAACAACTTACAAGTATAGCCTCTCCTACTTACAAGAAACTCGCTGTTACGGCTGAGGTTGGGAGCAGGGGAAGCACACACCAAAGAAAGAAGACTGAGAATAAAATCCATAGCCAGATATCTCAGAAACTTCATGTAACAATCATAATGTGATCTTATAATGCACTCCTGAAAATCCTATCAACAATGGAAACAAAAGACATTCTCTATATTTGTAGGTGTAGCATAATCCTGAAAATATTTTCAATTATCTAGATTTTACCTTAAGCACTTTGGGTATCAGATCCTCAGAAAAGAAATTACTATCACAAGCTAGACTTACTATGAAGTGAAAATAAAATATACATTCTTGCAAATAAATCTAATTCTGCAATTTGCAGAACGTGAGACTAGTATACACACACAGCTGTTCAGTTTTTCTTAATCATCTGCCATTTCTAGGCTACATTTTGCAACATTAGGTAACCAGTCTTCTACAAATACAAGTTAAAACACAATACCACTTACATTAGCAAAAACTCTAACTTAAAACATGCAAGTTGTATATTAACACCACACCAACAGGACTGGCGTTTAGGGTATCCAAATGATCTGTAAAAAGTCATCCAAGCACCTGCTGTTCCAACTGAATGACAGCCGTTAAGTCAGAGGCAGAGTTAATTAATCCCTAAATTTTCATGCAGAGGCATTAAGTATTACTTGGCACTACAACGAATGTAGCCCAGTGAAGTAAATGTAAATTTATCACTCAACATAAGTAATGTTGCACAATACAACCTTTATGTTTTGTCGTTAAGAGCAAGCAGTATGTCAAACTATTGACAAAGTACATGACAGGTAAGCTTATAATTTTAACTATGAAAAACCCTACAATAATATTACAAACTTGTAACTGCCATATAAAGGAAGTAGTTCACAATCACAAATGGTTACCTGAAAAACCCTATTTAATCGATACATCAACGTAACACTTCTGATACTTTAGCTAATATTTACTTAAGAAATTTTACCTTACGCATTTTCTGATTTGTTACTAATGGGCACCTTTCACATACACTGAAAATACCTGCATGCTTTTTGAATAATTCACCAGCAGAGTTAATTTTGCAAAGATCAGCTGCAATTGTCTCATCTCTTATTCATTCTAATTTGCTGGACTTGTCCCTCCTCTAAAAATAAGTAAATAAACAAACTCTGTTTTCCACATAAAGCTTTCAAGTTTTCACAGGAATTAAATACATCATAATATGCAGCTGTGGAGGGTGGAGCAGGAAAAGAAGAGCGTTTAACTTAGATCTTTTTTGCACATAGAGGTGCATTAGCTGTATTGTGTATTATTAGGGATGTATTCTTTTTTCTTATTATTTAAATTCAAACAATCACAGGGCATACAAAAAAAAAAATAATCCACAAATCAAAAAAAACCCCTCACACTTCAGGCCTCTTCAGGCTTCGTTTGTCCAAACAGTTGATAAAGGAGGCAGGGGGAGGAGAATAAATAAACAAGCAAAAAAAATGAGAAAAATATCTGACACATTCTCATAATTTCATAATGGTTATTAAAGAAAAAAAAAGCTCTAAGATATATACAACATATCATCACTTTTCAGTTTTCCTGAAACTACAAAGAACGAAAAAAGGAAAAGGTTCTGAATGTTTTCCTTCAAGATACAGATAGACTAAGTCCACACAGAAAACCTCTCTCTTTTGACAAATGAGTGGGGAGGATGAAGGAGAGAGATCAGCTCAATAAGCACTCTCAGCAGAATGACCCCCATTGTGATGCCACTCAGACACCGCCTGAACAGAACCCTGAGACTGGTCCATTGCATCTTTACACCAAGAGCTAAGTGAAAGCAACTTAATCAGTGTCTCTCCCATAAATGAGGATCCAAGTTTTTGGCTTAGTGTTAGTAAATTTTCTCCTAACAAAAGAAAATACACTCACATGGGAACTTTGGAATTAGAAACAAAGAAAAGAATGTGATTGGCATCTTTGTTTTCTAAGCATCCAAAACAAGGAGACAACACTACTGTAAACCACGTTACTGCAAATAAAGTTTTTTATATGTACGTATACATGCAAATTGTAAAAGCATTCTGACAGAAAGGCTTGCCAAAAACATGATCATCTAAATAAATATAACACAAGATCTCAGAGGAAAAAAAAATATATATATACTGAGAGCAGCATCTGTTGGTTTTTTTTAATGCCATGAAGAAGTACTCTCATAACCATAGTCTATTCCTTCTTCAAATAATTCTTCTGCAGGGATCTTCACACTGTCTTTCTAGACTGTGGACCAGCGCTTCTGGTAGCAGATTTTCTCTGTATTCAGTCAATTTTACTTTCCTTGTCATCACAACACCAAAAAGACAACAACTTCTCAGTATTGTCCATCTTTTGCAGTTTTTCTTTCAGTGTTATATGAACTCAGATCCTTTGTTAATATTCCGGTACTCACTTATTGAAACTTCACCACAGATAGTCCTATGCTTCAGACACTTTTTTGTTTCACTTATTTGCTTTATTTCTGCCAGACAAGCAAGAGTTTTCATCATAATTGTCATCTGGTTCACAAAGGGGAGGACAGTAACTAGAATTTGGACACTTAGACTGCAGGCCTGTTTTTTCTGATTTAATTCTATCAACTCGAATGAGGCAGCACTTACTTCTAGAATAGACTGCATGGCCAGCAGCAATTAAGGCATCAGCTAGACTGCACTCCTCATACCAAACATCCACCTCTAATTTCATGTCAGAGCCATAGTGTTTAAAATGAAATATCAGACCCGGTTTACTAAGAAGCTTCTGAAACAGAAGTTTAGCTTCATCACTCCAGTATTCCCCCTTGGCAGGAACTGTATCATGTAAAGAGCAAGAGTGGGCTAAGCGTGGTAAATAAGACAGACTTTCTGGAACAACTTTAAGCTTATGGATATCAGAATAAGGGATGCTCTTCAGAAAGCCATAATCAATAAACGTAAGAACAACAGATTGACTTGTTACTTCACTAATTTCTGCCCTGTTCCACTGTGCTTCCAGGCCAAACTTGATTAAGCAGCTACCACCAGGAGTCACGAGTTCTTCTGACAAAGCTGGCAAGTTGTCAGGAAGGTCAGAGAGCAGCAGAAACAAGTTTTTCATGCAATCAAATGAAACTTCAAACTGGACGCAGAAGTTTGAAGGATCAGTAACTGCAGTTGCAAACCCAGGACACCTTCTGCCACGCTGCAGCAGCAGCCATGTGACTGAATTTATCTTGAATGATGTATCAAATTCCTTACAGTCTGTATTACTGGATTCTTCTGGTCCAACAATAGTTGGATTATAACTTAAAAGCTGGTTCAAATAGTCCTGAAGCAGAATTTCTTCCATTAAAATATCTACTTCCCAGATATGAGAGGATTCCAAGTATGTCAAAAACAAGATCCTTACTTCACGATCCAGGAGTGCATTTACTACATGGACAAACTGATTTTTCTTAATTTTTTTAAACGAAATCCATTTACAAAACACAGCTTGTTTAGGAATACTTTTAATCTTGTCACTGAGCATCTTTGCATTATTTAAGGGCACCATCTCACGCTTTCCATAATCCATGAAAAAAACTAGCATTAACTTCTCCCTGACAAATTTCTTTATCACTTTTGATCGATACCACTTCAAGTTGCTTTCAGATTTTGTCATGCATTCCAATCCTTCTTCAATGTTTTCCACTCTGATCAAATCACTCCTTTGTGCTTCTTTGACAAGCATTACATTTAACTCATGTAATATTCGCAAATTTCTAAGTAACTGTACATGAAATTCTCCACTTTCTGAAATACTAATTACTTCTGCTCCTTCCACCTGTCCAGAATTTAGATCCTGAGGAAGGACATTTAAGGGTGTTTTGGAACTGGTTTTCATCCTAACAGCCTCAGTTTTACTTTGACCACGTAAACCACTCCAAGACTTTCCACCTTTAGGATTACCATTAGTAATCAGAACTTGTTCTGGCCTATTTTCCCCATTATGCATTGACGTGTTTTGCCACCTTGTCCTGCCTTTATTCTGCAGAAGTTCATTAGACATAGACTTTCCATCGTAAATTACATCTATTTCCCATTGCTCTCCATGTTGCTGTAAGAACTTGCAAGTGACTGGCTTGTTACTTATTTCACTTACAAAATAGGAAGTACTTTTATTAATCCAGCTTTCATCAGGAACACTTTTTACTTTGCTAAGGAAACAATGAACGCTGAGCCTCGGTAAAGTTAAGAACTTTTTCTGAATCCTGCAGATTTTTGAAGGACTTAAAATTGCTGCATTACCATAGTCAATGAACTCTACCTCAAAGGAGTTTCCCAATTTCACAGTTTTAATAGCTGCTCTATAGTAAAAACAACCAGTGTCATGCTCTGCTACAACAAGATCCCCTACCATGAGCTCATCTAAGCAATTCTTGTGACCTATATTCACCACGCTTTCATTCAATTCTTCTGCTAGTTGTCTTATTAAGTTTTCATCCTCTGCAAGCTGAATATAGAAACTTGATGGGCTATTCACATGACAAATGTACCCTGCTACTTCAGAATTCGCCTGAATACAGCGTTGAGGAAGACTGATTA